TATTAAAGGTATATTATCTATTAAAAGCCTTTTTTCTTTAATATTTACAAAAGTTTGACCACTTGAAAGTTGACAAACTGAAAAAAATGGGCAGACTCGCCCCGGTTTACGGTATATCTTTTATATTCCAGAATTTTATTAATTTTTTTCCCTTTTTCAGATTTTTTCCCCCGGTTTCTTGTTATTTTTATTTTCATTATTATTTTTCTTTCCCCCCCCTTTTTTTTCCACTGTTCTGTGATTTTTTACATGTTTTCTCTACATTTTGAACTTATTTTATGAGTATTTCTATTTACTTGCAGCTGATGAGGCAGTAAATAAAACTTATTGTTTTTCTTAATTTTCTTCGTGCTTTTTTTTTCTTTTTGCATTTATTTATTATGTTATATATATATATATATATAAAGAGAGAGAGAGAGAACTATCCAATTGATTACAGTTTTATGTATCGTGGATCAATTATAATCGATAAAGAAATCGCAAACAGGTTGATCAAAGCATGCAATGTTTTTGCCATTCTTCATAAATTTTGAGCATGCAGGACTATATTGATCGAAACAAAAATAAGAAGATTTAACTCAAACGTTAAATTAGTACTTTTATACGAATAGATCAGAAATTTGGTACAATTGAACGAAAAAAGAAATAAATTACAGGTCTTCATCAACAGGTGTAACAGAAAGATTCTTAATATAAATTGCTTCATTTAATATCTAACAATGAATCATTCAAAATCAGTAAACAAAAAACCAATAGTATTAGAAATCAGAGAAAGCAAATGACGATGGATTGGACACATATCAGTAAACTGGAAAAATTCAAACTAAAACGAAAGATGAGGACCTAAAATGACTTTACACATATTTATTATGAATGAAATAAAAGCGATAAACAAAACATAGTTAGAGATAAAGTACTTGACTGCCAACAGGGTGAGATGGAGAGTCAGGACAAAAGCTGTATAGAGTGACGTAGTGTAAGTAAAGATAAACAATGATTTTAAAGCTTGCGCATTGTCTGTTAAAAAAAAAATAACTAAATAATTTAAAAAAAAAATGAGACTGGGCGTCATCTAGGCCGACCACACTCTATCGTCACGACATCGACATTGACTTTTAATCATTCCTCTCAAACAATTTTTTCACCAGAACAAGCAAAAATTAATCTCTGGGAGACTATCAATACGTAATTATTTTCTCATTACCGCAGGACATAAATTTCGAGTAAAGCTAATCATGAGCCGCGGCTAGATGAGATTTAGAAGTGCATGGAGTTCTTAACAATATTAATAATTTTTTTTCGATATTCCTTTATACTTCATATCCGGAAACTAATTAGTATTTTTTATGAATTGTATCTTTGTTTATGAGTTTTGTTGTTATAATAAATAATGCGACGCAACTATTTACTTTCAACTCGACAAGAAGTGCCTCACCAAGTGATTTAAATCGGATTTAACTGGCTAACTGCAAGTGGTACGTCCCGCATGATTGTCGAACCTTTTCGGCTTTTGAATAAACAAATGGAACTATTTACCTACAATGATGTCTCTTGCAAGAATCCTAATGTCAATATAGTAAAAGTTTCCCAAGATCTGAGCCATTTCTTTCAAGTGGGTCGACGCATTAACCACATGGTAATCAAGAGTTGAAACTCAAAAGGAAGGGACGAGAAGAGTTTTCCAAAACCAACTCTCAGGTGTTGATGAGTCTTAAGATAATAATGTTCCTGTGCTCCCACCACAGGAATTTCAAGCAGATTCGCTCATTCTCTTTAAATCCGATTTGTAAAAATGCTTTCTCGATGTCACAAGTTACCCCATATCTTTCAAATCCATTCATGAGTGCTGGTATTAATTCAATTAGATTAGGACCTTTTTCCACACATTAATTAAGGAAGGATAGTTTCTTTTTCCTCGGCAGATCCTTTAAAAAAAGGACTTTATTTTAGTCACTTAGACCAATCCTTAAGAATGGGCCGATGCAGTAAAAAGTGTTCACATTTTGTTTGTCGAAGGTAAAATGTCGTCAATAAGTCCCTCAGACCTCCAATCGCAAAACAAGTTTTTGTAATTATATATCTTTTCACGTATTTATAAGGACTTCACAGCTTGTGAGTATTTTTTCAGCTAAGTTTCCGCAAAATGAAAATTCAGGGTGATCTTGAGTTCACTGTTGCTATATTCCTTCTACTATATTCCTTCTACTATATTCCTTCTACTATATTCCTTCACTATATTCCTTCCTCTGTCATATCTTGTAATAGTGTTAGTGAAGTCAATCTTCGTTGGATTCTCAAGATATAATATTGCTATTTTTACAGCAGGCTCACGAGTTTTTATAGTTTAAAGCTCCTAATAATGTGTAATATGGAAACTAGTAACATGAACAGATAGTAACATTTTAGGTTTGGGATCTCCATTGCCAGATTTTCCGGTAGCTACCCATCCTGATCAAGTATTCATAGCTAACAATTCTTTCTTCAAGGATTTTATTTCTCCAGTAAATAGCTGATTAGCATAATCAGCACCTAACGGGACTCGTAATTTGTTCGTATATTAACAACAGTTTTCATTAATGGCGATTTTGCTAAGGCATGTACCAAATCTTTTCAATTCATTTGTAATTTTATATTGCTTCATCTTTATGATTGGCACACAAACTGCATGCTGATTAAGTAGCTAATATTTGAAATTGTTACTATTATCTACATTGAATTAATAATGAAGAAAATAATATTTCCTTATTCCAGTTCTTAAAAAAATATGTGGGCAAATAATAAACTAAGTACGTGCCGATTTTCCAACAATAGACGCTTCCTTTTTTTAGAATGCATTTTTAAAGATGAATAGTCTTGATAGTTTCACTTAAACATTAGTGCAAATTCAAACAATTCTGTTCTAGAATGTGGCCGGTCCTACACCTTGGACAACAGGTGATTGGGTTATTTCACCTCATCCTGTCGAAATGGTGACCTTGCAATATCATATGCCACCAGCATCTACCACTTCCGAAGAAAATCGACTACAATACAATAAACAACAAGTGCCTTTACAAACATTATCTACTATTCCAGAAACGGCGGCAATAATGTCTTCGTCTAACACCCTCCCAAGAGCAACTACTGCAAAACAAACTGATGTTTGACGAAGTAAGGACCTTTATTACGTTTAACAAAAAAATTTTGTGTTCGTAAGCAATTTTAGTTTCGAACTGATTTTGTGTTCCGTCCACATATAGTATAGTACAGTATAGTATAGTATAGTATAGTAAAGAGCAGTACAGTACAGTAATAGTATAGTATAACATGATGAAACATAACATAAATACGTAAAGAATGCAACAAATGCTTTCTTTTTCTATACAAAATGCTTCAACTTTAAGTAACAAGATATATTTTTCTAGAAATTAGTGGAATTAAACTTTTAATTTTTACATCTAATTTCTTGTAAAATATTAGAATACGTAATTCCAGCAAAATATTAACATAATTCTAAAAAAGCATATCATAGACAATTTAAAAAAAAACGTTTTTAATGGAACATCCAATTTCGCAACTTATTATATATTTACAATATGCCAATAATTTCTGCACCCAGATTTACTGTAAATAATATATGTGACATGTAGAAATTTTAATAACATTTTTAAATTTAATTTTTTAAATAATAATAATTACATTAAAGAGAATTATTTTTAAGTAGTATTAATTTGCATTCAGTGTATTTGTTTTAATACTCTAATGCTTCTGAAAAATGAAACACTATGAAAGATTTGTCAGAAATTAATGTAATGTATTCCGTATATTACTGAAAAATAAAAGATCAAATTTACAAGACAAAAAAGTATTCTAGTGAGCTAAACTCAAAAATAAATGAAACACCCTGAATAACTTTTGATCTAATAATTGGAATGACCCAGTTTTAATAGTTCAAAGGTGTGAAATATTTCAAATAGTTTGTTCAGACGATATTTTGAGTAAAATAAGAAATCTGACACAAAAATGTACTTTCTTTGACAAATTACGACTCCTAATCCCCAGAATATAGGGACAGCTGAAACCTGATTATCTATGGTCCCCATTGAAAAGTCAGAAGAGCAATCCAAAGTATAGAGCCCTTTTAACTAATTTCACTGATTGCTTATTTCGTCATATCTCGAAATTTTTTAAGTGAATTGAAAATCCTTTGCATAATAATCGGAAACATTTTGAATTGTAGGATATTTTTACATTGTTTTAAGCAATGTATTTTTATTAGGTAAAATACAAAGTTAGAACGAAATAGGCCGAAAAGTTCCTGAGAAATTAAATTTTGAAAAAGCCAGATATTTAAAATTACATTTCTCAGGAACTATTCGACTGATTAAATAAAAATTTCGTATTCTGCTTTATGATACTTTTTTTTAAGAGTGTGTAGAGATTTGTATTTTCTCTTAGCCCATTAGTAAATAAAATGATAGATATTCATTAAAATTATTTTTGAAATGGAATTATCTATGAATAATAGAATTTTATAATTATGTGCAATTTTTTTTTTAATTCGCTTAAGAAATTCTCGAGATATATGGGAAATGCGCACAGCATAAAAATGAAAGTAAGGGGCTAAACTTTCAACCGCACTCCTGACCAAACTATAGGGACCATATTTCCCAGAATGCGGTTATCCGTATATTTTTTTTTTGGAGGGGGGTCAGATAGTTCGTCGAAAAAAAGTTTGTTTATTCAGTGAAAAGCATTTTTGTGTTAGATTTCGTAGCTTAAAGTATCATCTGCACAAACTAAATAGCATATTTGAGGTCAATGCTTTGAACAACTAAAATTTAGTCCCAATACGTGAAAATCGGATGATTAGATCAAAAGTAATTCAGGGTGCTGCTCCCTTTATTGTTTGCATTCTGGTCATTTTTAAAAGTGTTTAAAAAACATAAAATAAATTTTTTTACTTAACAATTTTTTTTTTGTTGTTGCAGTATAATGTTTTCGAAAGGATGTTAAACTGAGATCGTGGGATCTATTAAAATAAAAGTAAGTGAAGTAAGAGTAAGTAAAAGTAATTACGATCTTTTGAAATTATACTTTAAAACTAACAACTTTCAAATATTTTGTTGCAATAATGTCTCAGCAAATTTTGTTTAGGGTTGTAAAATTGATTCACGAAGTTGAAATACCGGCGCAGTGTCAAAAAAGTAGATTTTTCCTAGAATCAATTTTTTTAATAAGTGTATTTCCGAAATTCTTGTTTTAAATTCTGGAAATACAAATTGTTAAAAAAAGAATTTCACGAACAATTTTGATATACATTGAAATATTTTTTATAGGATATAAAAATGGCACAATGACTGAAAATCAAACCATATTAGCTCAAACATGATTTTTGTGGAAAAAGTGTAAAGTTTGGATTTACCAAAATTTTTCCGGTAAGTATTCAAAATAGGATAATAATTTTTCCCCATTTCTTTTAAACAAAAAACAAAAAAAAATATTTGACACTTCAAATAACGGATGCGTTTAAAATTTGATCTAATCGTAAATGAATCTAAAACTGAGTCTGTCTAAATGTTCGTATTAAAGTTACTCTTTTTAAAATCAGAATTACAAAAATTTCAAAAATATATTATTCAAAATATATTTCGTACACTCAAAATATCAAACTATATGTGCATACGTTGAATATCAAAATGTATCATACATCATACACCATGGGTACACTAAATAACTATTATAAAGATATAATACACGTGATATACATAATTTTAACAGTTTCAAACGCCCTTTATCTTAGTTCTCATTTAATCAATTTAAATACGTAACATTATGAAAATAAAATAAAAATCTTAAATGTGAATTCAAATTTAACCTGTGATATCAAATGGAAAAAGTCATTAATCACGTCAAATTAAAGAATAAAAGTTTGTGAAATTTTGTTTTTACGCATTTATTCTAAACCACAGATATTATATGACTTTAAAAGCATTATTACACTTTATTATTACTGTTCAACGTCACCCACTTACACCGATAGTTGCTCGCAATAATTGTGTTTCCGTGACATGTAACTGATTTTCTTTTACATAAGTTGAAATTATTTACTTAAAGTATATGTATTAAAAATTATTCTGTTAAACCTACGCTTGCGCCCCCCCTTCCTAAGTCATGATGAATCTATAAAGTTCGATTAGGGAATACAAATAATTATTAGTAATCATTTTAACATAACATTTAAAGCTAAAGTTATTCATGTTATTACAAATTCGGTAGTGCACAACCATAATGAAATATTTTCGTTTACCAAGCGAGCTGATATAATTTGTGCATGAATCCAATCGAATCTCTTAATCACTAAACGAATCTCTTTAACTGTAATTCAGAATACCATATTAATGTTATTAGCAACAAAAGATAATAGTTTTAAAATGATTAGCGGATTTGGATACCGAATTAAACAAGTTTATCTTAAAATGTACCGTTAAACGGTAACAAATAACAGAGTTGCGTTGTAATAACGTTTTTAGTTTTAAACTCTTAACTTTATGAGACAATCAGAATCAAAAACGTAATAATGGCAAAATAGCATCGAAAATTAAACATTACAAGTAAATACCCCTAAATTAAAGATATAAAAATACTTTAAATGAAAGCGATACCTTTATTACTGTTATTAGTTTTATCCTAATGGCAACTAAACATACGTAAATTTATGAGGGAAAATTGAATCCATCAAGGTGATTTTCCAGCCTATAAAAAATTTACACCAACAACTATAAGGAACTGCGTTAGACCATACTGCTATTATAAAAAAGATTTATTTTTCTTATTCGAAAAGGTTTCTTACAGTTAAAAAATTTCTGATAATTTGTTTTTTAATATCGTTACCATTGGCTGGCTGACGAATTTGAAGCTTAACGTATTGAATTTGGAGCGTATCATCAACGATTTTATCGGAACCTGGGATACTATTATTCAATTTTTACATATAATTAGAAATGCATTGTGTTTTAATAAGAATGTTAGCATTCAATTTTGTGTAATATATAACTAAAACTAACCAGCGACTAAAAAGCATAATATCGTACATTCAAACTTGATGCAATTTTGGTTCTTCAATGGAGAATCTCCTGTATAAATAAGCAGTGATGCTTTTAGATAAAGCTGCTAACAAACATTTGGAAAGAATGATAATCTGCGAAAAGCCATTTTAAAATTTTTAAAATGTGAAATGATTCCTAGAAATCTAGGTCTGTAGATGGGGAGCACTTAATACTGTTAGTTGTAAATATCTTCTGTATTTTTGCGCTTATTACTTCATTCTGACACCAAAATAGGGTTTTCTTTAAAAAAGAGAAACTTTACTACATCTGTTTATGTGACTCTTTTCACGTATTTAACTCTTTGCACTCTTTTCAAACACTATTTTAATTTTATTTATAAATGTATTGATGCTTAAAAGTGATACTATTTTCAGGGATGAAAATTGAAGAAAATGTCAAGATAAAATTCAAAATTTTTGTATCGGATGTAATGCATTTGGTAAGATAGGCTTCATTAGTTTATTGTTCTAAACCAATTGCTTTTTGTTTTCTTTATGCACATTCCAGTAACATTCCTGTTTACAGCAGTCAAAATCCAAAACGATATTATTCGCAATGCACACCGTCATGAGAATACAGAAAGAGAACCACTTTGGTTCTGAAAGATCTCCGCATCTCAAATAAAGAAAGAAAACTCTTTTTCTTTGTTGTTCGAATTTGAGATGGTGAACAAAATTTAATCAGAAATATAAAATAACATGCTGGCAAATATCAATTAAGAAAATATCATGCCAGAGAGTTGGCACAGTGTTGCTATCCAACAACAAAAGTTAAAGTTTTGGGAAGGGAAAGTTTAGTTTGATAGAAATAAAACTAGATAATCCGGTCATAACATGCAGCTTTATATTTAACGTAATTCCAATGATCAGTAGATAAAAAATTCAAATATTATTTTTTGAATTGAAAAAAAAGTCTAGGTAGGTTATTAAAATAAATTTTACATTAATAAAAGTTTATTTTGTAGATGTTTTCGAGAAAATCGGTGGCGATATTCATATGCTAGTTATGCTCCAATGACGGCCCTCATTGAATGTATTTATAAACCATTCAAATAAATTTATAAAAAAAATAATACATTTATTAAGTTTCTTGAAATAATATTTAAAAAATAAATAAGGAAGACTCGTCATTTAAGTCGACCATTATTGAAGCCAATCTGAGCTAACGAAACTCTTATGCGGTTTAAGACCAGTTCTTTTTCTCTGGATGACCATGTTAAATTTAGTCTAATTTTTTTTTTTGGTTTTTTTCACACTTAACTTTTAGTTCATTTAAACCATACTTTGCGAAATTTAATGTGAATATTTATAAACTTTTTTAAAGTTTTTTTAAAAAATACGCGTAGGGTAGTGTCGGTTACCCCCGCCCACTGTCAATTTCATAAGTATAGAATATTTTTTCAAGTCAATGGGCCATCGGACATTAATTGTTATATTAAAAAAATTATTTTCAAAGTTTCAAGTATTTATATGACATTTGTTGTTATTAAATGATAGAATTCACTAAAAGTATATAAATATGTAATAAATAAAATAATTTTGTGACAAAAAATGATAAATGAGGTTTATCTATTGTCAATACATTGGTCATTTTCATTTACACCTGAAAAAACAGTCAAAAAACATAATTTTTGTAACTGGGCGGGGCTACCCGACACATTTTGAAAAGAGCTGAACATGTTTTTTAAAATTTCTATTTTTTTAAGTTAAACTATACTTTTTTAGGTTTATTCTTTTTGCATCATTTAATTAGATGATAAAACAATAGAAACATACAAAAATATTGATTTTTACTCAATATTATACAGAAATATAAGCAATACTCCTTAAGTGGGAGGGACTACCCGACTCTCCCCTACATTATACGTCCAAAATTAGTTCACTTAAATAACAATTTGTGGTCTGAAAAGTGAATATACAGAATAGTTTAGAAGAATTAAAATGGTTTAAAACCAGTTATTAGCTCTGAACAGTCTCGATAACTGTTTGTTAGGTTTCGATATTGTTTTTAGTTTATTTAAATAACTTTTGCTTCATTATATAGATAGTTATGGACTTCATATTTAATATATGCATAAGAAATCGTAATATACATCTCAAATCTGTATTAAGGTGAGTGAAAACAAGAACGTTTTCAAACACTGACCTATCATTATTAAAGTGAAAAGAGAAGCCGAAGAACATAATAAAGTTTACGGGTAGCAAAAATCTTGCTACTTTTGTCCTAAAGTATTTCTCTGGACACGAGAATACTTACTATTCACTTTCTAAGAGAGAGTATTCTATTTTAGGATGAAATAACGGAAAAAAGTTGGAACAATGTTATTATGTCAAATTTTGTAAGATTTAATTAAATCTTTGTTAATTTTATCCCAAGTGAAATCCAACGAATTTTATTCCAGCGTGTTTACTCTTTACTGAGACATACTGTGATTATGGATTGTGGGGCTGGGCTACCGACAATATCAACCGTCATTTATCTAAAGGTACCTCCAGTTAAAATCGAATTAACATTTTTTATATACTAGCGAATTGGAATTGAAATATTGTAGAGGTAGCTTCGCTACAATTCTCTCCCTTCAGAATTTTATCGGGATAAAATTCAATGGATATCACTAGTTCATTTATTGCTGTCTTGTGAGACGCCGGGAGAGCTGCATTAAGATTAGCGGACTTTAGACGCTAGTAGATGTTGCAGTCGAGTATGTAAAGGCCCCCGTTGAGTGTGATCGAGACTGATTAACAAGTCCGCGAGGAGGACAAAGTCGTTGTCAGAAATAGCAAGTCAACTGTTCACTGTGTTCCATCCATCAAAGTAGGCTCGTTCATATCCAAGAAGCGTTTCTGTTGAGATGGGATTGCTGAGAACACGTCCGAAAGTCACCAATGTGGTGCTAGGCTATCGACAATGTCAACCGTCATCTATCTAAAGTTACCTCCACATCGAATCCAGTTAACATGTCTTACATACTAGTTGTTGCGGATAATTTACGTCACACTAGAAATGCACGATGGGCAATTGGCAACGGTCTGGGACACACCCCTGAGGATGATCCGAAGACATGCCATCACAATTTTGATCCTCTGCAGAAGAGGTGGCAGCCCCACTTCGGTAGCCCGACGATCTGCACGCGAAGTCGAGCACTTTACCGTGGAACAGTTTAACTACGACCAATACCTCACACCCTCGGTCCCTAAGCAGACTGATCCAAGTGGCCACCCACCCGCATACTGATCGTAGCCAGTGATGCTTGACCGGTGATCTGCTGGGAAAAGTGTCTTGATGATCAGTCCACTGCGAGGCTCTTATATACTAGTGAAATGGATTTAAATAATTGGACTGGTAGCTACGTTTCAGGATCAGTGAAGCTTTTCTTTTTCTTTTCAAAATATTCTGTCCAGATACTCTTGGAACAGATCTTACAGTTTTAAAGTTTTGTAATTTCTTGATTTGTGTAGAAATTTTTCTAGCATTGATTTTATGGAATGTATTGTAATCTGCATTAAATATTCTTTTTTTTAACAGGTAGAAGTTCAAGAACTGAATCAAACAATATGAATAAGTTTTGTAAACCTGTCAAATGGGAATAGTAAGAAATGTATTTTAAAAGTTATACATTTATGCAAAATAAAAATAACGTTATTAAATTGCGCTGTGATTTTTTTTAATACCCAATAAAATACATAAGAAACCATGTTTCTTTAAACTTTAAAATTTGAAGTTGATCGGAAGGTGTAACTGTTTTTACACATTTGTGAAAAGAGTATTTAGGCAGAATGGTTTTCTATTTTGGTTACCTTTTTTATAGTTTGAAGTTTTCCATTTTGTTTGGTTATGAATGTAATTCCCACAGCGACAACATTTTTGGTTACTATTTATTTATTTATTGCCGCAAATGCATACGCTGCGATGGTTAAGAAGCTCTCCTGCTATCACAAGATCTTCTACTGACTCAAGGACTGAGGTTGTCTGCTGCTAAGAAAACAAAAGTAGAACTATTACTAACAGGAGAGAATATAAAAATGACATAAAGCGAAGCGAATGACAAACAGTCCTTCTCTTCGAAGAATGAATGAGATTTTTAAGAGATCTACGATACTCTCGCGTTTCTGATTTCAAATCTGCATTCAATTTCTTTCTCCCTACAACAGATTTTTTTAAATGACATTTTTAGTCTAATTTTTGTACATATGTACAATTTTAGAGACGTTATATGTCACAGTGATCACGAAAATGTTGATCTTCTAGATGAGTTAGGGCGCATCACCAGGATTAAAATTGCAACCCATCCCCGTAAATGTCGTCATACGCGGCAAGGGACAGTTTTCCTGTAATAAACTGTTTATTCGTGTACTTCTAAAAGGTCGTAAGAAGGAAGTGCCCTGGTCCACGTATGACGACATTTCCGAGTTTATGTTTCTATGCAATTTTAATCCTGATGATGTGCCCTCTCCCCTGGAAGTTTGTCGAAACATTACACGCCTTCATTATATATAACCTTTCTAAACTTGTAAATTTTAAAAATATAGTAAAAAATGTCATTTAAAAAATGTAGCTTTAGGTGGAAAACTAGTTCCAGATTTTAAATCTCCACACCCGAATTAAGCAAGAATAAGTATTAGTATAAATACAAAATTTTTTCTCTTAGTGTTATCTATTATCAAATATATATATATACATGTCTAATAATAAATAAAGTACATAATACTGATAACCTGCAAAAATAAGTTTCAGAAGGTGTTTTTTTTTTCTTTTGAAAATTCTTTGTAAAACTATAAAAACAGTACCAAGAAAAAAAAAATTATTTATTTTTAAAAGGAAATTATTTCTACCCATTGGCAAAATGGATGTTGCTTTGAGTTTGATGGCTTGCGCCCCTTATTTGGACGTCATCACACTTTTCAACTGCGTTCAAGAGTAATAGTAAACAGTGTACATGCGTCGTCATTGCATGAGTTGCTATGGCGACCGCTGCTGTTTGATAATTTTCTTAGAATTCTTTTTTTCACTTTTAACTTTGTTATGCATTAAGTGGGTCAGTTTATTTTTGAGATATGGTACCAGAATGATCCCAATCTTCTTGAGTTGTGAATAAAAGAGAATTTAATCATTTTTTTTATTGTTTTAATTAAGAATCAGAAATTCTAACCTACAGTTCAAACTGGATCGTTTTCAATTCTAATTCAGGTGAATATCACAAATAAAGAGGGTTAAAAAAAATAAGACAACAACCATTTTGCCAATAGGGTAACCAGGGGACCACAATTTTTTTTTAATAGTCTTTTCAAATCAACAAATATTAGTCACGGGGTTCTTACATAAGAACGAAATATTCGTATTAAAAATATCCAGTGTAATTTCATTAAACAAACATTCCTTCTTCGAAACAAATTTCTTTTTTTTAATTATTAAATTATTCTGATCGTAAAAAATCAACAAAAAATGAGCAATTACTATTTTTTGACATTGAACCAAACAATTTCTTCATTCCCAACAAATCTATTAAAAAAATATTGTAATTTGACATTTTTCTCGTAAATTATCTCTTCATAGAAATGAATTGCTTTCAAAATCTCAGTCTGTTCAGTCACATTCTACATTGATTTGAGTTGAAATGAATGAAATTCTTTTTGTATATTATTTGCTTTTCTTAGTTGTGTCAGCATCAGTCTAGAGACCCGGAGGATATTCATCAAATTTTCAAATTGGATCGAAGAAAAATCCAATTTACTCCAGCAATATATAGATATTAATCATGCTTTCTGGCATTTCATTTCTCGCTTTATCTTTAAAAAATGACGGTAATATTGCGTCTTCGAGACTAAACGAAATTTGAAATAACGAAATATCATCTAAATCCGCTCTAGGCTAGAATAGAAAAAAAAAACTGTTAACACTAAATTAAATAAGGATTCTTTTTATGCGAAATATTCTGATTACTTTATATATTGAATGATTTTAGAATATGATTCTGATCATCCTAAAATTTGATTATTTTTCGAATAATTCGAAATTTTTGGTAAATATTGTTAAGACATCTTTCTGTATTCGCAAATTCGTTAAGGTACGTCTGGAACATTTTTTTTTTAAAAAGTGTTTTAATAGTTGCTTGTACATATTTTTCTATTTGTAAGTTTGTTAAATAAGTTTTCGAATACTATTCTGAGAGAGCTTTAAATGGTTATTTCCATAATACAAATGCGTATTCATATATAAAGGAAAAACAGGATTTAATGCATATATCATTTGCCAAAATCGAAGTTCGTTAAAATGCATATTTAAAAATTTAAAGAACAAACTTATTCATATTTTTTGCGTTAAACAATGAAGTAAATCAAATAAAATTGTTTAAAAAATAATCTTAGACTGAATTTTAAAAAAAATCATTCAGTTCACTTCAAAATTTCAGTATAATTAAAAAGAAAACTTGAGTTTACTTCGAGAATGACAAAGAGCCCTGGATTCAGCAATTTAAGAAAAAAATGTTTTAAAACTCGATTAATATTTCTTTTAATTCTTTTTCTTTCATTTAACTTGATGATGAAACTAAATAAAAATATGTTATACTTAATGTAACGAAATAAAAAACAACTTGAATAAAAGCCAAACTGTACCTTCCTATGCCTTTATTTGTTTTATCCAGAATTAGTGTATATCAGCCTAAAACAATCTTAGAATTCCTTTTTCCATTAATTGACTTTATGACTTATCAAATATACTTTTCCCAAAATGAATCTAGTATATACAGAGAAAAAAAATATGGTCAAAACTACCAGAATATGGTAAAATTTACAGCGTTCCTGACTCTATTGGAACAGCAAAGGGCTTTGTTAATGATTTTGGTAAAATAAGCAATAAAATATATGGGATAAAATTTGATAAATGTGTTAAACTTTGATAATTTTATCATTAAATCTCAGAAAATGGAAAAAATAACCATTTATTTGGCTAAATTAACTTTTCATTTCTGTATTTGTTACTAAATTTATCGCAAAAAGCACTATAATTTTAAAAACCAACCTAAATTACCAAGTGAATGGTTGGTTTATATATAGCTTATTTTGGTTTTTAATGCTAGATATATTTATTTTTTAACAGAAAAGTCATAACAAAACAGTATGGTTATTTTACCAAGCTTCTTTTTCTCCATGTATTGTATAAAATATCATTCTCATTTATATCGCTATAATCGTTATTATTTATTAATTTTACTATTTGAAATTGAAACAGAGTATATTTATGAAAAACATCTGTCTTTTACTCTTTTAACGATAACGGTGAAATCTTCATTTTTCGAGAACAAATAGTCCTGAGCAATCAAATTTTCTGGAAGTTTTTTGGTAAATTTTTTTCAACAATTCCTTTTTTTTTCTGGCGCTACTTTCTTTACACAAAAACATAATTCTATAGCAAGAGGAATACTACTGCTTGGTTAATAAATGAATCTCAACCCAAAGGATGAAACTCTCTGCAGTAATTAAAACAAGAAACAATTGCATTACAAAAGGAGGTACTTTTGTTTTGATGTTTTTCTATTTTGGTGTCGAGTCATAACATGTTTTCACCATAACTTGAAATCGCTTAAACTTGCAACCATAGTCATCGACAGTGATCCTGAACAATTGATGAAGGAAGTTCCTGAGTTAATCTTTTTTTTTTATTTCTAGAAGTTAACTTTTTCCTTTTTTTGTTTATTCCCTCCTTTTGCTTTCAACTCTTAATTTTATCACTAACGTAGATTTAAGGACAGTTAATTTTTGTTCTCTGAAACACTCAATTTCCTTTACGTTTTCATAACGAGTTTGTAATATAACCGCATCCGGTAATTTCCTCGTTAAACGTTACTTTCAAACCACCATTACATTTTTACACCTCAAATAATATTTTCGAGAATTATAAATGTTCTCAACTTCATTCCTTATACACCATTTCAATGAAGGGTATTATAAACTTCATAATTATCAGAAGCATAGTAATGCATATTAGTAAACCATTTTTTCGCTTAAAGAAATATATATTGCTATTTTTTTTCTCGTATCTAGAACAGAATTGAATTTTACAGTAATATCTTTTATAAAAGGAATCTTTTTGGAATAATAAATATTTAGTTATAAAAAAATTAATGAGAACTTGTTTTTGTTCTATAATATATCTCTTATTATAAAAGAGAGCTATTTATTGTTTTTTAGTTTATTAATACACATAACTTTAGAAGTAACCAAAGTATGGGCTTTTGAGTACTATGGGACAATTTCATAATGTTTTTAGCGAATAATAAAAAAAAAATTTGGAGAGAATTTTCACTTGTTAATAGAGTTTTTTAAATTTATAGAAATAGAAAGACACAATCATTTTAAGCATAATCTGATCTATAAGTTAGCGATCAACGCATGCTTTTATGTTTTTTTTTCTTCATGGAAATAAGCTTTAACAACCCTTTTTAATAGAAAAAGTACTCTTCTTATCAATTTAAAATAAATTAATTGGGTAAATTAAAGCAACAAATTTTTTTCTCAGCATACTACTGTTTTAATTTTTATTTTAAGAATGATATCTTGAATTATTTGTTGCATTGACTGTAAAAATGGATTTCTCAAAATGGAGCAAAAGTGAGTCAAAAATTTGAGAACTAAACACA